GAACAGGTCTATGCAAAGTCCTCGTAGATGTTGTATACATTCATCCTAAAATATTGCTTTTTACTCTTTGTGTCGAGAGATTTTAAAAATAACACTATATTTTGGACTAAGGCGTCATAACGGAAATGATCTTACAAATGATCCAATGTAATGCATTTTCACCAAAGTTCATCTTTGACTTATAAAATGATTATCTAGCAAATTTTGTTAATATATCTCCGAATTTGTCAGCTATAAATTGGGAGCAAACGTAAACGGCCAGACATCAAAAAACTTTAATATATCCCTTTCAATGTGGGCGATGTAGAGTATAAGTAACATGAATTAAGAAGAAATGTTATTCATGACTCATTGATTCGTATGACTTCGTCCGCAGACTAAAAAGTCTCTGTATGACTTAATTACATTTTTATTTTTCAGAGCTTTTTTTTTTATTTGACCAACTACTCGGAGGTGTTGTCCCTGCAGTAGGCTCGGCCAGAAAGTGTTCTAAGTAGAAAAAAGATTCATTTGCGATTACTTTGTCTTTGAAAATCAAAATTTTTCTAAAAATATAATAAATAAAGAGATAGAAAAGCTGATAACTTTACAACAATACATCGTTGCACTTATACACTGTTACAATATACATCCTTCCGAAGTAGCGGTTGAGCTACCCGAGCCCACTAAGCGAATTTTACGAATTTTAAATAGAAGAAATACGCAACGTTTAGCCTCTTAGTAAACTGATGCCGCGATCGAAGCAGCAGAACTCATTTACTTACCTTCTTTTACCTTAAAGAGTAAGAGCTTTAATGTTATTTAAGCATCTTATCTCTGCCTGCGCTTACGTACCAGCTATTTTGCATACATATTTTCAAGTACAAAAACACTTTTTGCTGCTAGATACCATGTGGACACGGCAAGCGAAAGTCAAAGCGCTGCTAGAGATTAATATTTCATGAATGGAACATTCCTGAGAAAGAAGTACGCGATCACACTTGAATCAAACTTATTCAGAGGAGAAAGAAAGTTTGCATTGTGCCAAGGACTTTACTATGAATCCAATGAGTTCTTCTTTACTCATTAGAGAGGCAATGTCTGTGAGTAGGGATTCTTTACTTGATGAACAATCATTTTTAGGATTGTGTTTTAATTCGTATTCTATTCAGTTTTCCTAACGAACTTTTAGGCGAAAAACATCAAATTATGAAGCTTCCAATGAAAGGAATCGTGTTGCGGACCTTAAACATAAAAATTAATTTTTTATACAACCCAAGCAGTTCGGCAATAGGCATTGAAATGAAAATTTTCTTCTTCTTCTTAATTTACATTAAATATCTGCTATTCCTTAAGCGTTTAAGGTGTAACCTGCTCACCAAACCAACCCACGCCAATGTGCGTGATAAGATGAACTTTATATATTCAGTCACGTTGCTTCATACATATATCATGTTACTGGTTAACACGACTTATGCAATAAATAATGAGTAAAGCAAACGATGTGATATTGTAACAATAACGAAAGCTACAACGCTTTTTTTATCGATAGTGTATAATGCTTTCACAAAAATATATATTACGTGCGTATGAATTCGATGAAATCGATAATAAACAACAACAACAACAATGGCAATAACAACAACGACAATAGCAACAGCAACAGCAACAATAACAAAAATAAGTATAACGACATGAACCATATCTACATATCTACATATATCGGCAAACAAACAGACAACAAGTCATATCAACGACTTCATTTAAGCATAAATAACCATAATAACACTCATACGCACTGGTGTCTGCATGAAAACAATAATAAAACAGAACAATATCAACAAAAAAAAAAAAAAAATGAGAATGAGAATGAAAAAAATGAGAAAAATAAAAGCAAAAATGTAAACGCATTAAAAATGAAGTTGTTATGCTGCCGAGCAATTTTTCCGCCCGTGACGCGAATAGCCGACCTACGGAAACGGAAAGCACCCGCAAACATAACAAGAAACTTTGAAAAAATGTACGAATTGAATGCATGTAAGTGCTTGTGAATTTGGGTTTGGCTCCGCAGCATTTGTTGATATTCATTAATCGTCTGTGGTTTGTGCACACAAGTAGATGCGCACATCCAGAACTTATGACTGTTAGCTTTGCTCGGAAGTTTCTGCCATTCAAATATTTATACATAATTCCAATGCATCATCTTCCTCAACTTCTTCTTTCTTCTTTCGCCTTTTCCATTTTTATTTAAATCATTTTTAATTTTCTTTTTTTTTTTCATTTTTATTGAGATATTTTTATATAAATTTACTTTCACTACCAATGGCCAATGTACGCGAATCTCCATCCAGTCCCGTGTTGGAACACCACTTAAGCATGAATTGTTCAGTTATTTATTTATTGCAAGTAACTGAACTTCTGTTTCTTGTGTTCATTTGTGCATTAATGTTCGTCATTCTTGTTTCCTATTTGTTTGTTATTGTTGGTTATCCTGATGTTGCTCAGTTATTGTCACAAGTGGTTGCAGCTGAACGAATAAATACGCAAAAAATTGTTGCGCTCCTTTCCTATAAAATATTTTTACATACGCGCGCAACCATATGTATTATTTTAAATGTCTTGTAAACGATACGTTTGTACGTGGATCTGCAATATATTACACGCTTTTTATTATTACTATATCAATACTTGAGAGTTGAAATTTTTATTAAGTCCAAAGTGATTTTTGCGATATTTTTGCAATGATTGCGAACATTCTTTTACACGTCTTCTTTTATAGCTCGGCTTGGTGTGCGTTTATTTAAGTAGAAATTTTACATAAACTTAATAAATAAATATATTTTAAATACAAAAAGTCAATGTATGCACTATGAGATGTATGTCTCATAACCAATATTTCATAGCAGCGTTCTATTAAACGTTAGCAATTTTGTGAGGCAATTGTACCGCTAAGTCTTCGGAAAGCTCTAACATATCTTAGATCGATAAGAATGAATTTGATTGAATTTTCGCCAAACCCTTTAAGGTTAAGATTTTTAACTAATATCAGCCGACGAATCCCATCATATCGAATTAAACTACGAATATATGAGCAAGCTTTCAGTCTCATTTTCGAATATTTGGTATTCGAAAAGGAAAACCAAAGAGATGTATCTGAATGAATCACTGTCTTATCACTTTTATCGATCTTCGGTGCTTTGGCGTTTATATCTTTATATTATATAACTGAAAGTCAATCTTATGCTGTGCATATCCTCAGCGATGTTTGTTGACTGTTGCCGAGTTCTACAACGAAAAGATCATTAAATTTTTGACAATGATACAATATTGTTATTTGATGACTTGAGTTTGTGCTGAAAACTAGTCGATGTTCTAAGAAATCAAATCGCAAAAAAATGTTAACAACTCGCAGAACAAAGAGTTAACACAAAAGTGTCATAATGAAACTAGGTACTCGCAACTTGCTTTTAAAAAGGTGTAAGAGCAGAAAATTTGTGGAAGTCAAAGTCAGTGGAGTCAAGGGAGTTAAGTCGAATAACGGATCAAACCAGAAAAAGTATTGTAAGTATAAGCTCCTCTAAATAGGACAACTAAAGTCGATGCTGTCTTAAAAATCATCACGAACTTAAGCTCAAAACGAAGTGAATAAAAACTTAAAATCGCAAAAACATTGTTTTATGTTAAAATATAGCAAATAAATGATGTATATAATGAAAGTTAAGTAATTTTCGTCTTTTTTTCCTCCCTTCGTAGACAGATAATTGTTTTATGCAAGATTATGCCTGCGTTGAAATCCTATTCCTTCGGACACATCCTCCCCTCTTTAAACAGACCGCCCGCCTTTAAAATAAACTACCAGCAGTGATCTTCTCCGCCACTCCAGAACTCGAACGTATGCAAGGACTACTCCCCCCTTTGTCCTCTCCTTGCTTATGATCCCTTGCAAGCACTCTTCGTATTCATATGTATAGGAGACATACAAGTGTCGACATCTTCGGTTTACTCATACTAACAAGAAGTTATCTTTTCAATTCGGCATTTTCCGAATATTAATTTTTGTGCTTCTCAGCTCCTGTTCTTGTCAGAATATATATGTATACATAAGATTGGAATGCTGAGAGTTCTTGTTGGTTGAATCAATATTATACATAGATAAGTATTTTTCCAAAAGCACACTTTTTGGTATCTCATGAAATAACGTGTGCTCTCATTATTTAAATGAGAGAAGTAATGTAAATGGATGTAAAAAGCAAAGATGCCCGAGCAGATATATTCTTAAACTAAGATTATGAGTCGATAAAATAAACCTGTATCGTTTTTGCTTTTATTATAAATCAAGGCAAGACTATAGCTTTTACCGCCTGCATTGAGTACAAATGAAATCTGGCAAAAAATGCTCTCTCTACTTAAGATAGTGCAAGCCGTACTTTATTGCAATATTAATTCATCGCTTTAAATTATTCGTATTAATAATAATTACAAGTAATAATGAATAATAAAATTCAAAAAACCAAAATAAAAAAAAAGAAAATAAAAAATTAAAATAAAATAAATGTAATAATAAGAAATAATCAAGTTGCGACGATATTCCAATTTACTCAGTCACTTTAATAAAAATGAAATTCTGCTTTTTCTAACCATATATATGTTGGTCAGTAGTTCTTTCTCAAAAAATCGCAAAATTAACATAAGTTGAATTTTTAGTTCATATATTTGCTGTTCAATAAATTAAAATGAAAAGTAGTTGTCATGCAACTTATGCCTATATATGAGCCTTCTTTTCATATATTTCTTAAGCAAACAATGATCAAAGTCGATTAATATCGATATATATGATGTTTAAAAAGAAACTTCCCCTTCAAGCTTCCTTTAACAACAGAAAAGGCATTCAAGTCTGAGAATTTGAAATTAAAAAAAAAATCTCAATATATTTTGTAAATATCCGAAACATTAAGAAAAAATTAAATCGCTTGAGAAAAAAATACAGAAAAATAAAATCAATCTCGTTTAAAAATTAAATTTAATAATAAATTAAACTAACTTAATAATGAATTAACTGATTTTATGCAATAAATTAATAGTTTTCTTCATCGTATCCGTAATAGTCGTCATCTTCACCATCATTAAGCATATCCTTGAGTGAAGAATACTCCTTTTCAGGGTCAGGTTCAGGTTCAGCGTCCGGTTCCAAATCAGCATCGAGATCTTCATCATCCACATCGTCTGCAAACAAATGTAAAAAATTTCCAATTACGTCATAAGTCCTTCATAAAAATTCTCGGGAGTAAAATTACCTTTATCCAGAACAATTGGTTCTTGTTTCGATTCGGGTTCGGCCACTGGTAAACCTAATTCTACTTTAGACATCTTCGCAGGCGGCCCAGGTATTGAGTAATTGGGTTTGCCGCGCCTGTCAATAACGGATAACAAAATTTCTTTATCATTAATTATAATTAATGAATAAAATTTTATTGGTTTACCCGGTTTTGCGGTGTATTGGACCTGTTTCCACTATAACTGGTAAATCTTTAGGATCTATTACTTTAGCTTCTTCTTTATTCTCTTCTGGATCTGCAACATCTCCTGGTAAGGCATTATCAGTTTTGCCGCTGGCCGCGCCACTAGCACCTTCCGTTAGAGTTCTCAAAATCTCATAATTAATTTTCGTGGAAATTTTTTTTTCTTGTAGCATTTTCTCTATAGCTTCACCCGCTGTCGACGACGGGCCAATAACTTTCTTTCTGGGTTTACGTTTCTTTTTCTCGGGTTTACCCTCCTCCTTCTCTTTCGCTAATCTCTCTTCTTTTTCTTTCATTTCCTTAAGGTATTCGGCATTCAAAGCCTTCCACATTTGATTTTTATATTCGGCCTCCTCGTGCGTTAATATATAATTATTTATCTCTTCGTCATCTAAACCTTCTAAATCGAGTTCCTCATCTCTTTGTGGATTTTTTGACTCTTCGCATTCCTTTACTTCGCTAGCCGTTAAACGACAAATTGATTCAATATCAGGTTTGAGGCCTTCAATTACCAGCTTCTGCGATTTAGGGGCAGCCTTTGCCAGCTCTGGGCTGCCGGCTAAGCATTCTTGTATCGCCTCAAGATTAGATTTTTCTATAAATTCAGCTGTTTCTTTGTCCTCGAAATCGTCTTCATTTAAATCACTTGAACCGGTTAAACGCTTCACAATTCCGCGATGACATTTTGACTGTTCTTTTTCCAAATATAAATCAATCTGCTTTTGCAGTTCGCTTAACTCGTTTTCGCCAATCTTTGAAAAAAAAAAACAACAAAAATTAATAAAAAAAAAAATAAAAAACTTCGTCTGAAAATAGAAGCGCCCAACGTGGGGCTCGAACCCACGACCCTGAGATTAAGAGTCTCATGCTCTACCGACTGAGCTAGCCGGGCTGTTTGCCCAACGTCACTTTTGTTTGAATATATTTATAGAGATATTTGTTGAGAAACTTCGCCTAACAATGAGAAACATGAAGAATTTGTTACGTCACGGTTCGTTTATTCTTCAATATATTTCTCTTAAATCAACATTTCTCAAGCAATTTTCCACCTCTTTTTAGCCATATTTTGCTTAAGATCTTTAAAATATCTACAAATGCTTACATTATTTTTTCAATAGGGAATGCAGACAATGTATACATATATCTTTTTAGATTTGGACACAGATAAAAGAGCTAGGGATAGGAGCGAGGAGTTTACTTCTGAAATGCACTTTAATTCTTCAGTTTGAGAGTCTGTGCACCAAATTATTTTTTAATGAAAAATAACGTACCTAATCACGAATCGAATACGCAAAGGCTATTAAAGACCTTTGGAACCGAAGCAACGACCGAGCAAGAAGTTTTTAATCCAAATTCCAATGAATGCCAATAACTTACTAATACCTGTTTTATGTATTAAGAACTCATGCGTTGATCCAATTCAAATTCCCCATCCCATTTTGATCTACGCTTAATCCCTTTTCAAACTTGAGGTTTTCTCTTTTTTTTTACACAAGCGAAGAAAGCTTCGTTGTCTTCATCTAACTATGAAACAATTTCGATTGCAATTTATACGATATCCGCACGTAGGCAAGAGTAGGCAATGTTTAGTGATAATAATCATAATTCCTTCCACGTCAACGGACTTTAGTGAAGTAAAAAAAAAATGAGTAGACGAATAGGTAAGAATCGCGGCTACCAAGTGTGTGTTTGCGGGTTGTAAACCCAGTGCGGTAGAGTTGAGTTCAGTTGTATCTAATAATGAGTAATCAGTCGCTAAGGGCGATTTGCCGATTGGGCACACACCCACTACTTTCTGACCGCATTACACGAATAGAGGACGTCACCCGGGTGATTAAGCACATCAAAAAAGAAAAAAATCCCTAACTCGAATTTTCTTCTTCTTCTTTTTGTTTAATTTACCTCTTTTATACGCTCGCGATCTTTTTTACGAGCCGCTTTAAAGGCCGGAGGATCCTGTTCAGCTTCTAAGTCTACCGACATGAACTCATCAAGGGTTAGAGAACTTGAAGGTGTGTCAGCAAACTCGGTCAGTCTTTTGCGTAAAGTAGATTCATGAATTTTGACAATTTTGACAACATCCACTATTGTGCGGCTAAATTCATGCATGCGGGCGGCAATCAGAAGAGCTGAATAAACAAAGCAAAAGTTAAACAAATAAAAAATTATATTCGCCATCTGATAAAGCTTGGATACACATTACTCTATATATATTTATAGAAATTTCAATACTTCTTAAACAGTTGGCGCTCATAAACCTTTGCACGAACTAATTGATTAATTTATAGATCGTCAACTATTAAAGAGAGTAAATTGAAATTTTAAGCTAACCAGGTTATTTCAATTATGATAAGAATTTTCAAACTACTCTTGGCTGAACATCCATTAAGGTGTTCAATATGGATATCTGTCTGTAGCATGACACTTGTTTATATTCTTATATGCATTCGAATGCGAATCGTCTCTATTTTGGGTGCCAATAATTGAACGACCAAAGAAGACTTTATTCCTCATGAATACCAGTCTAATAACAGGAGAAAGCTAGTGCGATTATAAAAAAGGTGATAATTTCCGATTGACCGCCACCTGATTCTATGTGGCTGTCTCGCTGCCGTTATGAAACATGAACATTGAATATATGCCATGGTCTCATAAATATTAATTTAGTAAACAAAGCCACAAAAAAAAAAATGTAAATGTCTATGAGATATAAAACTTAGCACAAGCTTCTAAGGGTACTTCGGTGCAACGAATGAGAAAGAAAAACGTAGAATACAGCAGAGCCGCAAGCAAATCCGAAAATGTCAATGAATTCTTGGCAATAACTTGTAGCCGAAGGCCAATAACGTCACTTTATATATGTACTTTTCTTGAAATTTTTGGAAGTCGTAAAGTTTTTTCACGAAGTTGTACTTTAGGAGAAATCAAATAGAGGCACGGCAGACCTTGAACAAGATCTATATGAAACAAATTCATGTTCAATACTTTTTAAGCCCTAAATATAAACTCAGACACTGCTAATATTTTCATCATCGCTTCTTAAGCGTTTCTGGCTTAAGGGCTTTGCAAGCATCATATGATTATCTCTCAAGAAATATCATTATAATAACACTTGTAAAATCTTTGCGGGGATTTCTAGAGATATGTCCTTTTCAATGGTTTTGTCCACGGGAAAAATCGAAATATTGATGCAAGTTTATAACGAAACAACCATGAAAGTAAATACCTGTAGGCAGCATAGACAGCAGCTCTATTAGCTAAGATATTAATTGTTGTGACCGATAAAATTAGATTTTTGTATGAATGATTTCTGACACTTTTCCTACAAGAATTGTAAGAATTATTCTAAACATGAAGCACTGATTCCATATATACATTGAACTAAGCTAGTGCGCGTATATACAATATAGCGAGCATTTTGAAAATATCCATTTTTCAAAGCTTACCAGCACCACATAGACCAGTTGGCCTTCGGCCGGAATGTATGGAATCTTTTTTCATTCGTTGGACAATGCGTAAAGCAGTCATTGACACTTCATGCGTTTTAGCTCCAAACTGCAAACGATTTGCAAACCGCATTATATACAGGCAAGGATCTAAAAAAACAAAGTAAAAAATCTTAATTTAGAAAGAAAAA